ACCATCATTTTTCATGTTTCACGACATGTTTCAGTTCCTAAAAGAACCATCCTCAGGTGTATATAATTATATAAAGCTTCAAAACGATAAATAATTCAAATACAATTTTCATACATTATGCTAGCTTGCATTTTTATTAGATTTTTACCAGATATCAAACGATGTTCTTTTTCAGATTTTTATTCCATTTTTAATAACACACTCGATGTTCTGTATATATACATCATGCTCAATGTGACTTTAGTGTGGGTGAACGTTTTTGTTGTGTTTATATCAGTCTGTAATGTAAATAACATAAAGGTTAAATGAATATTAGTAAAATACCATCTTATTACTAATGTATTCAATTATATTGTAATTCTGAAAAGAGAAAATGTAATTCATGTAACGAACTCAATTACATTATAAAACATATGCAGAATTTGAATTTCTACAGAGCGAATTGTGTAGGCTCGCAGGCAGCAGACAGACCTCAATGTCGTTGGAGAAACCTGTTCTGCCTCTGCCGAGTGTTTTGGAAACTAATTATACAGTGGCCCTGGCAGGTAGAGGAGGGGACGGGAAGATCCAGCAACAGCCTGAGAAATGACAAATTTACCTTTCAAATGTAACAATCATCTAGACCATAATTAGATTATATGACATCTAGTGGAGTTGTAAGAATTCATGAACAGGTGTTACAGAATCGATCACAAACATAGAATCCAATCTTCCTTAACTGTTTGAGAAATGTCCTACATATTTAGATCTATTCGTTTATTGATGCAATCCGATTGTCTGCGAAATCTGTCTCACGAATAAACACTCAGCTTTGAAAAGTTATGTGATATTCCTAACCTGTAAACGAATCTCTAAAGTGTAGTCAACATTTTCCATATACTCACGTCTAGTATTCTACATCAGCTAAATAAACATCACTGGCTTTGTAACAATAAAATAATTTGTCGTTCTCAAATATTAGAAATTTTGTCCCCACGTCCAAAGGCTGTAGTGATTTTTTCCTGCATTCCGAAGATGAGATATAAAAATACTTAGTTTTCTCTTTGATTCGTCTTCTTAATATATTTTCTGCTTGATTAAAATAGCAGTCAAATTTCAGAAATTTTCTATCCCACGTCACAAACGAGAAACAAAACAGTGCCACAGGCGACTTACAGTTTGTGCACTTGATGTTAATCCAGCAACTGCCTCAGCTCTTGGACACACTTCATAGCAGCACTCAACGTTCGAGCACTGCGCACTGCCTCGCCTTGCGTGCCAGTCTACCTGGTAATGGCTTACCTTGCCCTTCGACCGACACACCGCGAGCAGCAGAGGGGAGAGGATAGGACAAAACAGAAGGAAAAAACCGGTGTTGATGTTAGAATGAGACGGACAATCAAGTTTTGGTCCAGTGGAGAAGAGATCCCTGTCCAGAAGTTGTGTCGGACAGCCGTGAGTTCTCCCACGGAAACACAACTGGATAAACGCTCAAATTTACTCCCATTGTTTGTTTAAACCGCGCAACACTCCTATTTAAACTAGTTTAAATTAAATCGAATCCTGGAAACACAAATATAATTTTGGTTTATAACTACCTAATACTTAAAATTTCGCACGAATTTCTAAACCTGTATTTCTGATCACGGTACTGAAAGGGTTTCTTCAGCCACTCCAAAAATACTTCGATCCGAATTATAGAATGATCAATGATCATTTATTTGTTTTAATAAATTTAACCCACAAAAAATCAAAAATATAAATTTATATTTTGACTTAATTTCGTAAAAGTCACTATCCATACTTTCCTAAAACCTACAAATTACTAAACTGTTACCGAATAAAGACATATCCCTTGTGGGATGTTGCGTCGTGAAATCCAATAGACGTTTCAGAGGTTCTTACTACCTTCATTTTTTAACGTTATGAGGGCTGATGAAGGCAAAAAGCACCTCTGAAACGTCGGTGAACGTGTACTAGACTACAACCTGCAACATTACAGAACACAGTCATCTGCATATTCGCGGCAGTGAGAACCTGAAAACTCTACTGTTATCCAAATAATAATCTTATCATGTAGGCCTCGTCATTAAAATATAAATTTTCACTTTCTGACGTATTTCAAATTTTACTCTCACAATCAGGACGCATTTGGAATTTTGTAACTTATAAATGAATGCTATTGTACAGCAAAGTATCATAGTCGCCTAAGATAAGTGCGGACAGATGAAATTACGTCAGAAAACTCCGCATAAGACCAAACGTTGACTCTAAAGGTCAATATTTTAATGACTGATTGAATGTTTTTAAACTACTACGAATCAAGTGTAGGTGGATAAAAATAGAAAACTAGTTAGGATGGGTCCACTAGTCTAGTTTTAAAAATGTCCAGAGATCGATCCCAACAGTCGCCACTAAGTTGATCAGTATAACGAAAATCATCTGAGTACAGGACTAATGCTAACTCCCGAAACGTCGGTAAGGCCTATGTAAAATATACCTCAGACAATGGCCAATATCAAATTTAAAATTAGTTTTATAGTTTGTTCCACGCGCGGATTTTGTAAACACGATAATTAACCTTCTGGTTCTGGCGGAAACGATCTGGACCAATGAGCGACTTCAGCTTCTCAAAAATGATTTATTCGTCCAACCAACCACTTGCTCTTAGATGCGGGCTTATGTGGCTACATGCGGGCGGCAAACAAAACACTGTCTCCTGGCCACCGGCGAGTATTAGGCACGTTTGGAAGCATAAATTGTCCCTCTACGTAGTTCATACAACAAATTCCGTTAAAGGACAATTTACACGTTTTTGTGTACATAATATGATGGTGGACCGCCATGGTGGTCTAGCGGTTAGAACGCTGGCCTTGTAATCCTGGGGTCTCGGGTTCGATTCCCGGCGGTGCCCGAATTTATAACTTGTGTTGGGCAAGGCCGTGGTCTAGGCAACACGGAGTTTTCCTCCGGGGCATCCCAACAATTACTCCATTCACACACAGAAGAAGGCAATGGCAAACCACTTCTGGATCATCTGCCAAGAACGTATATGAACAGGTCCCAGTCCGAGAAAAGGATGGAAGGATCCTGTTCATATGGACCTGTCGTCAGACAGAACACTAAATAAATAAATATAATAATAAATATGATGGTACTCTGTCAGAGAGCGTTATAATTTCATTAATTTTAACTGTATTAAATTAATCCATTTTATTCTTAGTAATACTATTCTATTATCTTTAGTTAGGCCTAACAAATGTTTTGGTTTCATTTAGGCTGATGGATATTCCGTACGACTTCTTTATGTCCAGGTTCGAATCTTTGCCAGGTCTCTCTCAATCTACAGAAAACGTTAATATCATATGCTTGTCCCGAGCTGGATTAAAACACGTGATCCCAAAGTTCGTGACGTCAAAGTGTGTGAGTGACTCATCGTCCTAATGATGGAGGCAGCAAAGACCTCTGAAACGTCGGTAAATTTATACCAGACTACGGAATGCAACAATGAGCCGGGATAGCTCAGTCAGTATAGTGACTAGCTACGGACTGGACGACCGGGGTTCGATCCCCAACGGGGGCAGAGGATTTTTCCTCTAGCGTCTGCGTCCAGACCGGCTCTGGGGCCCACCCAGCCTCCTCTACAATGGGTACCGGGGTCCTTTCCTGGGGGTAAAGCCGGCCGGGGCGTGATGCTGACCACTCACCCCCACCTAGTGCAGAGGTCAAGGAAGAGAGGAGCTATACCTCCACTCACCCCAAACGCCTACATGGCGTATAGTGGGACAAACTTTACTTTACTTTTTACGGAATGCAACAACCGAGAAGACTCTCATCTTCAGACTCACCGCCGTGAAAACCTCGAAACCTACATCGCGGATGTATTCCTGGTGGAAAGAAATAAACTTGTTTTGCTGTGGATATGTTGCTGATAAGACGTCGATATCACGACTAGAAATCGATTTTAACTCGAACGACTTAGGCAACAACATAAAGGAAATAAAACTATTTCGTTTTAATGTTAGATTTTATTATAGCGGAAGTAATAAGCGGTTTTCGAAATTTAAACTTTACACATTAATAATAATAATAAAATGTACTCTGTATTCTTCTGTATACAAAGCAGGAAAATGTTGTTAAAACACTACTCTTTTAAGATATAAAAAAACGATGTTTCGAAATTTTGTTTTGCGTGGATATTAATTTGTTGTCTAGACCCGGGGGAAGAACAGAATTTGGAAGCAGAATTTTGCTGAAAATGCTTGGGCATGAGGAAAAAAGAGTGGGCTAGGAAACATTACATAATGAGAAGCTTCATAATGTACACTTCAAGAAACATTATTTGGAAGATACAATCAAGGAGGGTGAGATCGGCGGGGTACGTGCCATGCAAGAGAGAAAACATAAATGCAATGAAAATTTTTGTCGGGAAACCTGAAAGGGAAGGTCTTAAATGGGAGAGTGTGTATTAAAATTTATCTCAGAAAGAGAAATTGTCCTCAGTTATGGTAACGTCTTTACAAACACACTTAAAATTACTACGAGTCGTACATAAACAGAAATCGTTTGAAATTCCGGAACTTTTAAATATACCTCGACAACGGTGAGTCCATTTAATACTTCCTACTTTATCACAAAATAATTTTAATTATAAAACAATGCTGAAATTGTAAACTACTCCATCTTTTAATTATTTCATCTGATTTTCTTAATATTTTGTGTAAATGGCTTAAAGTTTTAAAAAACTGCAGTAAATATATGAATATAATAACATAACATATTCTATTAATCCGTCCAGAGACTGGTCAAGAATTTTTTCAAATAGTTTTAGAGTTTTGGTAAACTTTATTTATTTACGGTCATTTCTGTCTGTTACAGAGTAAATACATTAAACACAAAGTTACGGGTAATACACACGGACTGAGCTTAAGAATGACAAATTTCGTGGAATTCATTTTGCCACACGTATTTATTTTATTTTTATTTCGCTTTATGTTTTTATTGTGACTACAGTTTACTTTCCTCCTTTCCTTCTCTCATTCTTTTCTTCCTTTCTTTCTGTCTTTTTCGTCGGGCTAAACATGGAAAACACGCAGAGACACATGTGCAGTCTAAGATTCTCGTCCTATACAGAAAAACCTCAGTCCTCCCCTTCCCCTGCTCAAATTCTCCTTCCATTTCAATACTGAATACGGCTTACAATGATGGATGTCGGGACCTCACCAGGTGACGCAGAGAAACGGTTATCCGCGTCTTCAGATTTCCCGCGTTATAGTTACACGCGGGAAACAGAAGAAGGTAAGTCGAAGTTCGTAGACACAAATCACGCCGTTGTTATACCAGAAGAAGGGACCGTTTTCATTCTGACATCAAGAAATACGAAAGGCTGTAATCGACATCTGCTTTTGATACAATGAAATATCCCTTGGCCTGTTATTAAAATATTCCAGAAAAAACAAAGACTTGAGGTTTTATTTACCCATCCACAGGTGATGTTAATCGTAAGCGATTCGTTGAAAGGAGAGTTTAAACTTCCAGTTGTCCTTTATCAGGTATGGAAAAGCGTATTTGTCATTTGTCTCTCAAATAAAATCTTATTACATTAATTTCGATATTGTAACTGTCGGATGTTTTGTAAAATATCTGTTTTTTATATAATATAATATGCAAACTACAGCAGAGTAACTCGAATTAGACCACGACCACTTCCTTTTCAATTAGTCATTCTTAAAATAATCGCCTATTATCTGATGGTATGTAAATTAGCTTACGTAAGTCATAACCAAATAAAAATAAAGAATTTTGTGTCAATTCGGAACACGGTTGGAAGTTTCTTTTACGTTTAAGTTGATATTAATTTTCACACTTAGAAAGAGATTCTTTACTACAACATCGTGATTCATTCTTTATTATAAAGTAAATTCTGCAAAATTAAATTTACGAGATAAAATCCTCGGTATCAGCACAAAGAAAATGAACAGTAAACTCTTCGAAATGATGAGGTGGGTGTTCAAAGACTGTACTGGTCACAAAAAAAGACCCTGTTGAGTAATGGCTTAAAATGTGGATAGATGACATTAAACAATTAAAATCCGGTACATGTGAGTTGAAACATACAAAAATTGCAAGGTACTGAGTTTTGTATGTAGGTTGGGAATAAATCCTGAATCTAAAAACAATAAATTCAGGAAAATAATGAACAGTGTTAGTTATGTGGAGCTATGGCCAGGACGCATAAATACAGGGTGTATATAAATTACCTTCACAAATTTACTCGTAAATAAACCCTTTATTAAAATACATAGACACACTGTCTGAGAG